CTTTATGATGGGAAATCCCTTTGAATGGAAATGGCAGAGGAGGCAGCTCCAAGAACCCATTCGGCAACAGCAATGTCAAAACATCAAGTGACAAAAATCCAATACATCCTACATCTGTCCAGTGAAACCATATACATACTTACTCTAAAGCCAAGAGCAAGGCAAGGATGCACAGTATAACCACTATTATCTACTACCATTCTGGAAATGAAACCCCACTAACTGGATAAAGAACCAAGTAAGAATAATCAATAATAGAGAAGAGGAAGCAAACGATAAGGCATTCCCTAACATGATTAATCCAGAGTCAGTTTCAGAGATTTGAGTAAACATGTATCAAAAATAAGTTTTAGCCCAATCAGCATGGCTCAGTGGTTGAGCTTCAACCTATAAACCAGGAGGTCACTGTGTGATTCCCAGTCAGGGGACATGCCCAGGTTGCGGGTTCAGTCCCCAGTGTGGGGTGTGCAGGAGGCAGCCGATCAACAATTCTCTCACATCATTGATGTTTCTATCTCTCTCTCCCTCTCCCTTCCTCTCTGAAATCAATAAAGATATATCTATTAGTAGAGGAGTAACTGAATGAGTAAAAGTACACACATCTAATGAAATACTATGCAGTTATTAAAAATGCTAAAAATCTATATTTAGTAAAAAGAAATGCACCTCAAAGGTATGTATAGCATAAGCACATGAAAACATGTTGGACTTCATTAATCTTCAGAGAACTGCAAATCAAAATCACAATTGAGATACCACTTCACAGCCCCTAAAATGGCTATAACAAAACCAGGAAAATAGCAAGTGTAGGTGAGGATGTGGGGGAATTGGAACCCTCATGCACTTCTGGTGGGAATGTAAAATGGCACAGGCACTTTGGAAATGTCTGGTAGTTCATCCAACGATTAAACATATTCAGTGCTCACCTCACTGGACTCTTCTTTTTTTTTTCTTTTTTATTCATTAATCTTCAGAGAACTGCAAATCAAAATCACCATTGAGATACCACTTCACAGCCCCTAGAGTGGCTATAGCAAAACCAGGAAAAATAGCAAGTGTTGGTGAGGATGTGGGGGAACTGGAACCCTCATGCACGTCTGGTGGGAATGTCAAATGGCACAGGCGGCTGCCTCCTGCATGCCCCACACTGGAGATCGAGGCTGCAACCGGGCATGTGTCCCAACCAGGAATCAAACCATGACCTCCTGGTTCACAGGTTGATGCTCAACCACTGAGCCAAGCCAGCTGGGCCACCTCACTGAACCCATAATTATGAGCTACTCTGCTCCTCATGATTTTATTACCAACGATTAAACATATTCAGTGCTCACCTCACTGAACTCTTCTTCTTTTTCTTTTCTTTTTCTTTTTTCAGAGAGGCTTTGAATTTTACATTTGAATACCTGTATGCCTATCACACAGGTTTTATCATGCCTTTGTCTCCTTTATTATAGTGGGGCCTTGACTTATGAGTGTCCCGACTAACTTCTCTCGGCCGATTTTTTGCGTTGAGTTGATAGAGTAATTTGAGTTAACGAGCTTCTTAACGAACTCGGTCTCACTGAGCCAAGCCAGCTGGGCCACCTCACTGAACTCTTATGAGCTATTCTGCGCCCCATGATTTTATTGCGATAAACTCGTAAGTCAAGGCCCCACTGTATCTATCTATATGTTACTCCTCTACTCATCAGTAATTTATCTTTAGTCTTTAAGGTGGAGGAAATATTTCAATGGCAAACACATGCAAAGCTGATGTAAAACTATTATTTAGGCCTATTAATTGATTGAGAGGAGAATTTTACATTTGAATACCTGTATGCCTATCATATAGATTTTTTCATGCCTTTGTTTCCTTTATTATATATCTATCTATATGTTACTCCTGTACTCATCAGTAATCTATCTTTAGTCTTTAAGATGGAGAGGAAATATTGCTATGCTCATTTATAGAGAGAGAAACATCGATTTGTTGTTCTACTTACTTATTCATTCATTTACCATATGATCCAGAAATTTCACTCCAGGATTATATCAGAGAAGTAAAAACATGCCCACACAGCTTTAACCAATTTGACTCAGTGAACACTCCAGGATTATATCAGAGAAGTAAAAACATACCCACACAGCCTCAACCAATTTGACTTAGTGAACAGTGTCGGCCTGTGGACTGAATGGTCCCGGGTTTGATTCCAGTCAAGGGCATATGCCCGGGTTGTCGGCTGGATCCCCAGAAGGCGGTTGTGGGCTGGATCCCCAGAAGGGGGCGTACAGGAGGCAGCCGATCAATGATTCACTCTCGTCATTGATGTTTCTCTCTCTCTCTCCTTCTTGCTTCCTCTCTGAAATCTATAAAAATAGATTAAACAAACCAAGAAACATGCCCACACAAAAGTTTGTATGCAGATGTCCTTCTTGCTTCCTCTCTGAAATCAATAAAAATAGACTAAACAAACCAACAAACATGCCACACAAAAGTTTGTACGCAGATGTTATAGCAG